ACGCGGGCCCCCAGGATCAGTTGTTCCAAGAACATTACAATTAAGATCTCCAAGGATTAGCACATTTAAGCCATGTAGCAAAGAGTCAACAAAAGTCTTACTTAAGTCTTCTAAGAAATCTATTGAGGCATCCGGTGGTCTGTAAACTGTGCAGAGAAGAAAAGATTTAAATTTCTTATACTGTACATTCATCCAAAGCTGTTGAAAATTCGATTCAGACGTTGAGGACCATTTTTCAATCACCGAGGCCTTATAAATATTTTTAATGTAAACAAGTAATCCGCCACCTCTCGTGCGTAGCCCTCGATCTTGCCTGAACGTCGTATATCCTGGAATAAGAATATCCGCGTCATGTATTGTAGAGTCCAACCACGACTCAGAAATAGTAAAAAGGTCATACTTGTTATTGATAATCATGTCTTTAAGAAGGTGAAAATTTTCGCGAGACGCCACAGAGCGTACATTAAGATGGGCGACGGACATGAGATGTTTTCGATTCTTCGTTGCTTGATTTCTGGTCGATTTGTTGCCTTGGTTTGTAGTTTCATTGCTGCCTGCTTTTCCTCGTATGGAGGGCCCAGGTTGCGGGTGAATGTCGCCAGACAAGAGGATGAGATTAACCGCAAAGACGCCTCGAGCGTCAGGCATCGCCATGGTCGTTTGGCCATGTTTAGACCATTTGCAAATGGGAAACCTTCGCTGTTTACACCGCGACGAAGTTCGACGAAAGATAGTACAACGATTTGAATCAAAGGTGATATCTTTGCTGGTGCTGTCGAGGAGACGCGAGAAAAGAAATAGGATAATGAAGATAATGACAAAAGTCGAGGGACGGACGCAAACTTGACCGACCACCATCATGGCTACGATAATAAATCCGTTATTAACCAAGCTTGTTTGGTCAAGATGGCTGGATATCTGCCTCGTTCTTTTCTCGCATTTTTATGGCCCTCGACTTCGTCTCGGTTCATAAAAATGCGAATAAAGAACTCGGCCAGTATCCAGCCATCTTGACCTCACGCTTTGTTAATGACGCATATATATATGGATAGGCGAGATACCCCACCTGGGCGGGTTACCATTACTGGGGTCCTCCACCTCCATTGAAAATGGGTAAACTATTTTTTTATGGCCAGGTACGACTTTTTATTGAGATTGATAACAAATTTATATGCGAATACCTTAACGAGTACATGCATGGTTTAATAGAATGAAACAGGATTACAAGATATTGCACTAGGACAGCTCAATTCAGGAAAACTCACACAGCCTCCTGCAGAATACATAGATCTCAGAGAAGCTAGCAGAGATAACAGAAAATCACACAGTGCCGCTCCAGGTGCCGGTTACGCACCTTTTTATCCCTCAACACGCTCCTGGGAAGTTCCAAGACATCACGTGACCATAGAAAAGGTCATTGGTAAAGGTGCTTTTGGACAGGTTGCCAGGGGAACAGTATTAGGACTTCGAGGGAGGCCTGAGACGACCACAGTGGCTATTAAGATGCTTAAATGTGAGTTCTTGTATTGTAAATTGAATTACAGTCTTGCCTTACAGTCATCCAGGAAATGTTGCCATGTTACCGTAATTTTTTGGCTATTTGCCATTTTATAACTAGTGTTTTCATTTAGGTTTCTCGTATACTGTATAATTCCCATTAACCAAAACTCTATTCTTTTTTTTTAAACTCTAGCTAACGCTGCTGAATCAGAAAAGAGAGATCTGATGAAAGAACTTGAAACAATGAAGCAGCTGAAACCACATCCTTACGTCATTAAACTTCTGGGTTGTGTTACGGAATCTGGTATGCTTTGGTTATGTGGGTCGGACTTCACAATTTCCTTTTGATTTACGTTGTAAGACTGCCTCTACTTTTTTCAAATTTATATTGACGCTCCAGGACTTATCGGTAGACTAAGACCGAATATTTGCCTCTGAACTGACCATTCTGTTATAGAAGCGAAAATGCTTTTTTTAAGGGAATATATGGTCTGTTCCCTCTTATGAGGCAGTCCAGCTTTTCTTTTTAAAACTATATCTTTTTTTTTGCGATTCCTTCAAAAGTATTTAACCATGATTGGACTATGCATCTATTTCATTTGTTATTCAGGTTTTCTAAAGAGTAATTTGTCATATTGTTTGTTTAATTTCTTCAGAGCCACCGTTGGTTTTGATTGAATATGTGCCTTTTGGGGATCTGCTGGGTTACCTGAGAAAGAGCCGTGGATTAAATGACACATACTTCAAAGACCCAAATATCAAACCACAAACAAATCTGACGTCACAGCAGCTAATGAAGTTTGCCTGGCAAATTGCAGATGGAATGAGCTATTTGTCCTCAAAATCTGTATGTTAATTAAAACACGAAGGAAGAAACTTAATTCTAAAACATTTTTGTAAGGTGTATCGCGATGTGAAGCTGTGTCCTTTATAGAATTTTATGTCTTTACAAGATCACGCCCGTAATATGCAAACATTTTCTTACCGTTTCGTAAAGGTTTTAATTTGCTTTGGGAGAACCCTACCTATCTTAATGCCATCATCTAAGTTTTATCCCAATGTTCAAATAGCGATATTTGTGCATCGTTCCTAGGCACCCCATCAAATGGAAATTTCTAGGTTTCTTTAGTGTAGGCAAAGGAAGAGACGGGAATGGAAAGGATTCCTTAAGATATTCATAACAAATATCCATTTTAATGTCAAGGAATAAAAGGAATTAATACGACATTTCAAAATTTTGTGGTCGGTCGCAAAAACTGCTTTACTACAGAATTCTATTTCCATTAAAATCTTAGTATATATTTGATAGAAATTTCTTTTTTTCCTATCTGCTATTTCATTTCAGTTCTTTTCATCCGCATTCACTAGTTTTCGTTGACGCATCAACTCTTTCTTAGATCATCCATCGAGACCTTGCAGCCCGTAATGTGTTGGTTGGACAAAAGGAGACGTGCAAAGTGACAGACTTTGGAATGGCCAGAGATGTGCAGGAGGAAAATATTTATGAACGAAAGACTAAGGTAATCAAGAACGAGGGGAGATGGGGGCCGTACTACATATCATATCGTACTACATATCGTTCCATCTAATGACCTTTCATAATCATTGTTGCGGTATAGCTGATATATTCCTGGTTTCGATCATAAAATCCTTGGGTGGGACTCTAACGAAAACGTAAACAAGTATAGCTTGAAATAAAAATACCTTTGGCTGGTCGCTTTCTATACTTTTTGAGCTATTCACAAAGTGGGGTTATGGGGCTCCCACGCTCGGGAAGCGCGCGTGGGGCAGAGCCGCATACCCATGGATTATAGTCAACCTCTTTTTTATGGTCAACCTTTTTTTGTACGTACGTAATTGCCCTCTGTCATGTATCCTATCACGAAAGTACAATATGATCAAATTTGAAAATATGGCGTCAGCGCGGTCGACCCTCAAATTTTTCAGGTCAGATTTTTCGTTCATTTGCGATCGAGTTAGACCTTGTGGAGCTCAAAATGTAAAGTAACATTGCTATAGAATACTCTGCTTGGAAAATAATGGATAATAAGGTCTTAAAGGTGACAGAATAAGCTCTTGAGTCAACGACACTACGATTCTCAAGGCGATGCCATTTATGGACGTAAAGTGAAAACGGAACTTTCGGACTTCAAGCAGGGCCTAGCGATAATTTGACGATTCGATGGCCCAGTAAATATCATGTTCGAGTACCAATGTGTTCAAAAAGTATTGTTTAATAAAAGATTTTGCGTCAAATCGCAGTTTTTTCAGAAATTTCAACACAACGCTGCTCAATTTCTGGCCTTGAAGGCAAGCAAACAACGATCTAAGCATGATGAATTTTACCGCGTGGGATTTGTACACGTAAGAAATTCGTACGTTTTTCGCTTATAACAGCAAATCAAAAACTGTTTTGAATAAATCTGTCGTCCCGAAATATTTCTTGATAGATTCCATGGAACTTGAGATCTCTTCACTCAC